CATTGCTTTTCTCTATTTTTTTTTCTCTTTTCTATTTCATTCTACTAATTTCTATCCATTCTACTTCATTCTGCTCATTTTCTGTTTATATCTGCTGTGAACCTTAATATTTCAATTCTTACATTGGATTTAATTTACTCTGTTTTGTAGTTTATTAAGCTGGAAGCTTAGGTCATTGATTTTAAATCTTTTCAAACATGGGCATTTAATGTTATAGATTTCTTTTAAAACACTGCTTAAGTAGCATACCACAAACTTTTTATGTCATGATTTCATTCTCATTTAGGTCAAATTAGTTAGCAGTTTCCATTGTGATTTCTTCTCTCACCCATACATTAGAAGTGTGTTGCTTAGCTTCCTAACATTTGGGCAGTTTACAGATACCTTTTTGTTACTGATATTTGTTTCTATTTTAATTATCTGTGGTCAGAGAATATACTTTGTATGATGTGAATGCTTTTTCATTTATTGAGACTTGTTTTTTGGCTCAAGATGTGGTGTGTTTTGGTAAATATTCTTGTGCACTTGAGAAGAATGTGTACTCTACTGTTGTTGGGTGGAGTGTTCTATAAATTCTAGGTCAAGTTGGTTGATAATATTGGTTGCCTTCTATATCCTTACTGGTTTTTCTGTCTACTTGTTCTATCAGTTATTGAGCGGGAGGTATTGAGATCTGCTGCTAAATCTGCGGATTTGTCTATTTTTTTTCAGTTTTATCAGTTTTTGCTTCGTGTAGTTTGAGGCTCTCATATTAGGTGTATTAACATTTAAGATTGTTATGTCCTTGATAAATTGACCCCTTCATCATTGTGAGGTGATGTGAGGTGTATTATATCATGAAACTGAAAACGCATTTGTGGAAGTTTTTATGGATCCCAGCCAGGTACTCCCTTTGTCAGACCCTGCCTTTTGAAGGATTTTAGGCTACTTATAAGAACTTATCTCTTGTAGTGTTCTTTGATGTTATATCTATTTTGTCTGGTATTAACATAGCCATTTCAGCTTTCTTTTGAGTAGAATTAGAATTGTTTATCTTTTTCCATCCTTTTACCTATTTCTGTCTTTATGTTTGAATTATATTTTTTAGGCAGCATTTAGTTGGGTATTGCTTTTTAACAATATAATAATCTTTGCCTTTTAATTGGGCTTTTTATATCCTTTCCACTTAATGTGGTTTTTGATATAGCTGGGTTTACATTAGTGGTTAGTTGAAACTGATGCCTACCGGCTTGTACCAGCTTGCAAGATCTGATTATGCATATCTCTTCTCATCTTTGCTTTCAGTGACATCATGCTAGTAGAATCAAATTGGCCATGGTGGGAGTATTTACACCACAAAAATAGACAAATGCTATCAATAAGACCACCCTCACCCCCCATGAGACTATTAAACATTTATTAGGACACCACTGATATAAATCTACCATCTTTCTACTCATTTTCTTTTTGTTCAATATCTTTATTCCTTTTTTCCTCTTTGTCTTCTTTTCTGTTCATTGAGAATGTTTTATAATTTTATTTTGTCTGTTTTATGAACATATTAACTATGCCTCAGGTGTTTTGCTTTTAGTGGTTGCTTTAGGGTTTACATTCATCTTTAACTTATTCACAAACCACCTTTAAGTAATGTTACGACTGTTCACTATAGTATTACATGAACCTTACAAAGTATTTTTTTGTTTACCTCTTCCTAGAGGCACATTTTACTTCTATACATGTTATAAGCCCTATATCAGCTATTGATTTTGCTTTAAATAGTCAATTATTTTTAAAAGAATTCTTAAAGTAGAAAAAAACCATATATTTCTCCACATGTTTATAATTTTCAGTGATCTTTATTCCTTTATTATTGATTCCAATTTTCCTCTAGGATTATATTCCTTCTGCCTGAAGATTCTCCTTTAACATTTCACATAGTGCTGGTCTGCTGGTGATGAATTTTATCAGTTTTGTATGTTCTAATAATTCTTTATTTACCTTATTTTTTTTACCTTTTTTTTAAAGATGTATTTGCTGAGTACAGAATTCTAGTTTAGCTTCACTCTTTTTTTTTTTTGGCTTTCATTGTTTTCAATTTAAAGTCTGCTGTCATTCTTATTTTTTTGTTCCTATATACTTAATGTGTATTTTTCTTTGGTTACTTTTAAGATTTTTCTTTATCACTGCTTTTGTTTTGTTTTTTCTTTTTTGGGTTCGTGGGCCTCTCACTGTTGTGGCCTCTCCTGTTGCAGAGCACAGGCTCCAGACGCGCAGGCTCAGCGGCCATGGCTCACGGGCCTAGCTGCCCCGCGGCATGTGGGATCTTCCCGGACCAGGGCACGAACCCTTGTCCCCTGCATCGGCAGTCGGACTCTCAACCACTGCGCCACCAGGGAAGCCCTATCACTGTTTTTTGTTTGTTTGTTTGTTTCGTGGTACGCGGTCCTCTCACTGTTGTGGCCTCTCCCATTGTGGAGCACAGGCTCTGGACGCGGAGGCCCAGCGGCCATGGCTCACGGGCCCAGCCACTCCATGGCATGTGGGATCCTCCCAGACCAGGGCACGAACCCGTGACCCCTGCATTGGCAGGCGGACTCTCAACCACTGCGCCACCAGGGAAGCCCTATCTATCACTGGTTTTGAACAATTTTATTATGATGTACCTTGGTGTAGTTTTATCGTGTTTCTTGTGCTTGGGGTTTGTTGAGGTTCTTGGATATATGAGTTATAGTTTTTATCAGGTTTGAAAATTTTTCATCCATTATGCCTTAAAATATTTTTTTTCTGACTTTTGTCTCTCTCCATTTTCTCTGTTTCTGGGACTCCAATTACATATCTACTAAACTTCTTGGTTGTTGTTCCATAATTCACTGATTTTGTTCATTTTTTTCTAGCTTTTTTCCTCCATATTTTAATTTGCTACTTCTCCAAGTTTACCAATCTATGCTGCATTGTCTAATCTGCTGTTAATTCCACTGAATTTACTTTTCATTTCAGACAATGTATATTTTATCTCTAAAAGTTTCATGTGGGTCATTTTTTTATATCTTCCCTATTTTTCTTTGTCATGTTCATGCTTTCTTCTACCTTCTTGAACAGATGGAGTATATTATAGTAACTTTTAATGTTCCCATCTAATTCTATCAGCTATATCATTTCTATTGATTGATTAATCCACTCTTTACAAGTTGTACTTTTCTGTTTCATTGCATGCCTTATAACTTGTGATTGAATGCTAGACATTTTAAATTTTACTTTGTTGGATGTTGAATTTTTATGTTCTGTTAACTACTTAGGGGTTTGTTCTGGGGTAGGTGTTTTTTAGAAGTGGTTTGATACTTTTGAGACTTGCTTTTAAGCTTCATTAGGTAGAATCACAACAGCCTTTATTATTCTAAGACTAAACTGACACTGTTACTCAAGCAGTAACCTCAGGATTCCATTGATGCCCCATATGTTAGGAGATTTTTCCCATTGTGGTTTTGGGAATAAGAACTATTCCTGTCCCTGTGGGAACATTGGGAATTATTCTGCCTGCTCCTTTCCAGTGATTCTTTCCCTGGTCTCAGTAGTTTCCTCATATTCATGTGTTGATTAGACTCATTGAAAACTCAAGAGGAACCCTCTTCAGATCTTCAGCGCTCTCTCTCTCTCTCTCTCTCTCTCTCTCGTCTCTCCATTACTCTTCTCTGTGAGTTCTTTCAGAGATCACTATACTAAGCTTTATGTTATCCATTGTCTGAAAACAGTTGCTTTGTATATTTTGTCCAGGTTTTTAGTTGCTTAAGACAGAAGGGTAAATCTGGTTTCTATAGTGCATCATGACTAGAAGCAGAAGTTGTATATCATTGTTTTCATTCACATTCCTTTTTAACTTAGGTATGAACATTTTCTGTATTTTTTTAAATGTTCTTTTTTAGATTTCTTTTGACAGAAAAAAATTTACATCTATGGAATTCCAAACACATAATTATATATATTTATTTTTAAGATTTCTGTGTTCACAGATTCCACAGATTTTGTCTTACTCCTTTGGATTGTCAAGTTGCTTATCATATCTAACTAAATAATTTTCCTCTTGTAAGCCTATTTTTTCTTAATCTTAGTTTTTTCATAGCATTCCCTTTAGAACCCCTTTGTGCACCAAAAAAATCTTGATTTATTTCATTCAACAGTTATTTATGGAATGTTTACTATGTAACAGGCCATATGCTAGGCATTGGATACACATACAGAAGTATGTGAAGCAGAGTTCCTGCCCTCAGTGTGTTCATAGTCTAGTAGGTAAACTGGTAAGAAACAGTTAGCTTTCCCTTTGTAGAATGTTTGCAGTAGGAACTGTGTTTTTCTATTCTAGAACCATGGAAACAGAGGTGATTGCACTCTGAGTATCACTTTATCCTAACCCTAATTCACTCTTTTTCTCAAATACCCAAGCCTGCTCCTGCCTTTGGGTCTTTATTCTTGCTGTTCCTTCTGCCTTGAATGCTCCTTTCCCAAAGGTGTCCAAATGACTTGCTCCTACTCCTTCACATCCCTGCTCAAATGTCATTTTGTCAATGTGACCTCCCTTGACTATTTTCTATAAAGTAGCACTTCCCACTTTCAATCTTTATCTCTATACTTGAATTTATTCATTATAGCATTACTATTTACATTTTAATTAATTTTCATCCCCATTACTTTCTGTCCCCTCCTCCCTCAAATGTAAATGCCAGATGAGCAGGGACTTTATCTGTTTTGTTCACTGTTTTATCCCCAGCACCTTGAGTAGTTATTTGCACATATGGATTCTTTATACATGTTTCTTGAAAGAATTAATACCTCTTTGGTCACTTGATTATTTTTCCTTCCCATGTTTCCCTGCAAAGTGTTTTCTGACTGCTTTTATTCACACTGTCCATTTTTGGCTTACTCTACACTTCAAATAAGTAAATGTCTTAGTAACGCTGTAATAGTTAAAAGAGACACCTATCATCATGTCAAGTACTTATTCAACTTTGTTTCTTCCCCTCTCTTAGTTTTCAAACAGGACCAATCCAATTGATAAGCATCTCGAAGTCCTGATCAACAAGTACGGATTGTCAGCCCACCCAGTTGCGTCTCAGATGTTTGGATTTGCTGGAAAAGAGCACATGGAAAAATATGGTATGTTAAAAAACTTCAAGTCTTATTGGTAGTTATATACATGTGTGAGAAACAATAGGTATTTCTTAAGAAACTGTGGGGGATGCCAAGATGTATAAAATATCAAATGGTTTTTCAATTAAGTTGAAGAACTAGTCTGTATAGAATTCAGTTTTCTAAAAGTATTTATACATAGGACATCATATGAGAAGTACCTAGACTGCTCTAAAACAAGACATTGAAATAGGAAAAATAACATAAATCTTGTCTCCTTTAATCATAGACTATAAGTTGAGGCTCATTAGTTCTGAATATGGTAATGAGACTTAAAGCTAGCTCTTGGTAATAGATTTATATAGCCAAATTTTATTCTCAGTATTTGAATCCATCAGGAGTCCATCATCATCTGTCAATCCATAGTGTTTTATGAGATTTAAATTTCACAGTTGATTTTTATTTTGTAGGTAAACATCCTAGCTTTTTGACTGATGATCAGTGACTGGCCTGCCTTAGCCAGTTAGATAAAGCATGGGATAGCGCAGATAGAGTTTTTGATTTTGTTTTTGTTTTTATTGTATGACCCTGAACCAGTGCCTTGTTGTGTACTGTGAGATAAGAAAGAAAATAGTTGTGCTTGAAAGTTCAGCATTCCTATTCTTTGCAGGAAATATATCCCAGGTTTGATAGTCAAGATCAAGTAATCAGAAAGGAAAGAAATCTTCAAGGAAGAATGGTAGGATGGTATAGAGGAGCACTGCCAGTTTGGGGCCATGGAAATTTTCTTTCTTGTAGCTATTTCTTACCATTTTAAACTCAGTCCATTCCAATCTGGCTTCCCTCCTTTCTCAAGGCTACCACTGATCACTACGTTGCCATATCAAGTAAATGCTTTTCAATCCTATTTTAATAGACCTCAGCACCATTAGTCCCTTTTGATCACTTCTTTCTTAAAACATTCTCTTATCTTGGCCTCTGTGACATCTCGTTCTTCTGGTTTTTCTTACCTCTTTGGCTATTCCTTGTCCATTTCCTTTTTAATTTTTTAAAAATTTATTTATTTATTTATATTTTTTATTTTTGGCTGTGTTGGGTCTTCGTTGCTTCGCATGGGCTTTCTCTAGTTGTGGCGAACGGGGGCTACTCTTTGTTGTGGTGCAGGGGCTTCTCATTGTGGTGGCTTCTTTTGTTGAGGAGCATGGGCTCTAGGTGCATGGGCTTCAGTAGTTGTGGCTCGCGGGCTCTAGAGCGCAGGCTCAGTAGCTGTGGCGCACAGGCTTATTTGCTCCGTGGCATGTGGGATCTTCCCAGACCAGGGCTGGAACCTGTGTCTCCTGCATTGGCAGGTGGATTCTTAACCACTGCACCACGAGGAAAGTCCCTCCATTTCCTTTTGAATTAAATAATTCATTTAAAATATTGAGCTATTATTATATTTCAGGCACTATTCTAGGCACTGGAATATAGCAGTATATCAGTTAGCTATTGCTGTGTAATAAACCACTCCAAAACTCAGCAATTTTAAACAATGATTATTTATTATCATAGCTTACAAGTTTGTAGATTGACTGGGAATCAGATGATCTAAGTCATGCTCAGCTCTTTTTGTCTGGGTTGATCATATGACTGTAGGTTGGTTGGAGGCTCTGTTTTAGTACTGCTTGACTGGGTCATATGTCACTCATTTTCCTCTTGGGACCGGAGGGCCAGCTCTGGGATGTCCTTTTCATGGTCACAGCAGAAGCACAAGAGAATAATCTGCAACATGCAAGGCCTTTTGAGACTTGACCAAAGCAAGTCACATGGCAAACTTGGAATCAAGGGATAGGGTAATATACTCTACTTCTTTTGTGGTAGGAAACTTCAAAGTCAGACCATAAAGGATATTCAGGAGGGAAAAAGAATTAGGGACATCAGTGCATTCATTCACAAGCAACAAATAAGCAAATGAAATGTGAGGGTTTTGCTTAAATTTCTAGTCGAGGAGAGACAGTAGCATATGAAAAAAACTACGATAATTTCAAACAATTACTAGTCCTGTGAAGAAAATAAAACAAGGTAAGGCACTTGGGGGGAGAGGGAGGCAAACTTAGGATAGTCAGTGATGCACTCTATACTTGTATATCCAGTTGGCATCTTTGCCTGTGTATGTAACAGATGTCTCAAATTTCACATGTTCAGATGCAAACTCTTCATTCTGTTCCCCCATATCTTAAATTTGCTCCTTCTCTACTTTTCCTCATCTCAGTAAGTGGCATTTCCATCCATTCAGATGTTCAAAGCAAAAACATGAGTCATCTTTGACACTTCTCCCTGCTCTTCCCCTACTCCAGTCCATCACTATGTCCTATCAGTTCTACCTTCAAACTCCAAATTATGTTTTTTTCTCCCCCAGTTTCTTTTACTATCGCAGCTCTTATCCCAGACCATAATTTTTCAGACTTTGATCTGTGACCTGCTAGGAAATTAAAGATTCAAAGTAATGATTGAACCCAGCATTTTAAAAAAATATGACATTTGTTGTTGTTGTGTATTATAACTCAAGTCAGAGAAATGCACACAACATAAATACACAGTTTCATGAATCAAGCTCATAACTGTGACCTAAATTACCTCCCAGGTCAAAAATAGAATGCTAACACTTGAGAATCCTCTCTGTAGATAATTTTTATCTTAAGAACTTTGTGGGTCTCCTGTGAATCTTGTTTGGTCACGCCATCAGTCAACAAGCTACACCTGCAAATCTCTCTGGGCTCAGTGCCTTTCTGCCTTGGGTCCTTTCTGAGATGGCTGAGGAGCAGCACTCTTAAGCTTCCTAGCAACCCTTTGATGGAGAGGATTTGTGAGGCACAGGTTTTCTCTCTTTAGAGGGCTTTTTTTCCTCTCTGAACAACATTCTGAGGCATCACCTTTGATCTTTCTGAGGTCTTAACAAAAGATTTGTCACAATATGGGCTTCATTTTTGGACCATGTTTTCCTGGCAATGCCCTGGATTTGATCTTTGCTCAAAGACTATTGCTTTTTTTTTTTTAAACATCTTTATTGGAGTATAATTGCTTTACAATGTTGTGTTACTTTCTGCTTTATAACAAAGGGAATCAGCTATACATCTACCTATATCCCCATATCGCCTCCCTCTTGTGTCTCCCTCCCACCCTCCCTGTCCCACCCCTCTAGGTGGTCGCAAAGCACCAAGCTGATCTCCCTGTGCTATGCAGCTGCTTCCTGCTAGCTATCTATTTTACGTTTGGTAGTGTATATATGTCCATGCCACTCTCTCACTTTGTCCCAGCTTACCCTTCCCCCTCCCCGAATCCTCAAGTCCATTCTCTAGTAAGTCTGCGTCTTTATTCCCGTCAAAGACTATTTCTTAATTTTAGCATCTTTTACCACTTTGAAAGGCTGAGAATTTTCAAAACTATCAAGTCCTGAATCCTTTTTGTTTAATAGTTCTTTCTGCAATATAGCATTATAGAATTTTACTGTAAGCAGCCAGAAGAAACCATGTGGCAGTTTCAATATTTTGCTTACTAACTAGTTTCTACATAACTGCAGGTATTACTGTAATCTCTGCTTCTATTTTAACAGGGCTCTCCTTTCCTCCAGTTTTCAGTAAGATTTTGTCCTTTCACAAACTCTCACCTGCAGCATCCTCGAAGGACTTTGAGGCTACTACTAATGGTTTCTTCAACGCACTTTACGCTTTTGCTAGCAATTGTTCCAAACTTTGGAACTAGAATGGTTCCAAAGCCATTCACATATCTTATATTTTTGTTCAGTGTAACTCCATTTCCACTATATTAGTTTGCTTGGGCTGACATAGCAAATACCATAGACTGGGTGGCTCAAAGAACATAAATTTATTTCTCATTGTTCTAGAGTCTGGGAAGTCTAAAATCAAGATGCACGATAGGTTTTATACTGATACTGGTTTTATACTGATGCACGATAGGTTTTATAGGTTTCTTCTTGGGTTATAGGTGACTGCCATCTCACTGTGTATTCACATGACCTCTTCTTTTATGTGGGTGCAGAGAGAGAGGGAGAGAGAAACATCTTTGTCTTCCACTATTTGTAAGGATTCTTATAAGGACACTAATCCTATCAGGAGGCACTCACCCTCATGACCTCATCTACCATAATTACCTCCCAAAAGACCCATCTCCAAAAACCATCACATTGAGTGTTAGGACTTCAATAAATGAATTTTCTTTTTTTATATAAATTTATTTATCTTTGGTTGCGTTAGGTCTTCGTTGCTGAGTGTGGGCTTTCTCTAGTTGCAGTGAGCGGGGGCTACTCTTCGTTGCGGTGCACGAACTTCTCATTGCTGTGGCTTCTCTTGTTGTGGAGCGCGGGTTCTAGGCACACGGGCTTCAGTAGTTGTGGCTCACGGGCTCTAGAGTGCAGGCTCAGTAGTTGTGGTGCACGGGCTTAGTCGCTCCGCGGCATGTGGGATCTTCCTGGACCAGGGCTCGAACCCGTGTCCCCTGCATTGGCAGGTGGATTCTTAACCACTGTGCCACCAGGGAAGTCCAACAAATGAATTTTGAGGGGACACAATTCCGTCCATGGCATTCAGGTACCAAAATATGTATCAGTATTTTCTATTGCTTTGTTACGGTGAGACTCCCCTTTTAAAAATCATTTCTTGTTTTAATTCCTGTTGTCTAGTCTTCCTATGTGTAAGCTCACTGGCCTTTCAGTGTGTTTGGTAAGCCAAACTTATTTCCCTGCGCCCCAGTCTCATATTTTCTTTGGCTACAGTGCTCTTTATTCTTTCAAAGTCAACTCTTTTCATGCTTTAGGTCTTAAAAAATCTTATCTCATATCTCCAACACTTTACAAAAGTATTTCTGCTTGGATGTCTAATAGGCCTTTCAAATTTAACAGGTCTAAAACTGAGGTCCTAATTCTTTCTTGAACCTTCCCCATCTGTTCCTCCAGAAGTTTTTCCTATCCAGTAAATGATAACTCCATCTCTTTAGGACCTTTGGCCAAAAAGCTTAGAGCCATTCTTGAT